CTCCTGTATGGGACCAAAGTCTCAGGTCATTCCTTCTGACCATGGGCACCACTTCCAAGCAGTTATTAAATCTATATATATATACACACACACACACACACACACAAATACTGCTATCTCAGGAACCTGTTTTAAGCCCAACTCACAGCAGATTTTACCCACTGTGAAAGGCGCCTGAGGAACCTACACACAGGCTACAAATCACAGCATAATACATGGTATTATTAATAGCAACTTACAGCAAGACTAAACTAAAACTAACTACTAAACTAAACTGATTACTAAATCATGCATGGAAATCTGTGCCAGTATAACCATCCCTTTGTATTTAGGCATCCATTATGCTATGGCTGTTGTGGTGGCCCTCTTACCTCAGAGCAGCAGGACGGAAGTTGGCAGTATTTGTCTCCCTCCTGATGGAGTTTTATTCCAGCCCGTGCTGGAGACCCACAAGAGGGCGGTCGGGGTTGTGTTTTTCCTTTGACTACATCATTTTCCACCTTAGCATCCTGGGGAGGCTCACCACATAGTCACTTTCCATCTGCTGTGGCCACTTCAGTTACTTTCTGAAGAGAACATAATCAGTGTTATCATATGCTACGGTATGTACAGATAACAGAAAATGCTTACTGCAGATGAAGAAGCTATTTATTCATCACAGTCCCTGCAATGTCTGTGGTATGTGGAGCAGCCTGTTTTAGAGCTGTGTGAGACAGCAGGCCCCCAGATCACACAGATGGTCATGCTGCTGTTTGTAAGATCAGGGTGTCCACAAAATTTATTCTGGGTTTTCAAAGACTGAAGCTTCTTCTCCTATTTGTTCAGAAACTTAAAGCAATCATACTAAAAATAGATACAAAATATTAGACAAAATTGTATCTCTTCTTCTGAGCTCAAGAGAAATGTTACACCATTATCAGTGCTGAACTCAGCTTTAAAACCATGGTCGGCACCACAAATTTCACTCAGATGTAAATACTATCACTATACTGTCATTAGTATTATATTGGTGTGCCTTTAACAGCTCTTGAAGTTTCCTTACCCCCTGATTCCACCTCCCTCACTTTATTTTACCCCTCCAAAACATGGGTCCCACAGAGCTGCTTTTCCCCCTCCTGCCCAGCCCAGCCCACAGGTACAGCATCTTGCCACCTGTTCTCCTCTCCAGTGCTTTCACCCATCCCACCCCAGCTCTCTCTCCTGCCTCTTCACTTTTTCTTGTCTCCTCCTTATCTCTTGTGCATCTCTCCTCAAAACCCTATCTGCCCTCACACACAGCTTAAGCCCCCTTCTTGCCTCACCCAGCATGGTGCCCTCTTCCCTTACCCCCAAATACTCTGCTCTTCTACTGTCTGGAGTTGTTTTCCTCTAAATCCACCCAAGATCCTTTCCAATTTAGCTTTGTGTTTTAGATACCTTCTAGAACTAGTCAAAACAAAACTGTATTTTATTTAAAAAAGATTAAAAAAACCAAAAAATAAAAGATCATTCATCACTGGGAAGGCCAGTCAACACAAGCCATTCAAAAGCAACTAAAAGGTACAAAGATAGATGTTTCTCCTCTGCATTTGAACCTACAGAAGTCACAACTGTAAAATCCTTTTGATAACACTGTATTGTACCAACCAGCATCAGCAAACAGCAGCCAAAGAGTCACAATCCTTTGCTTACACAGGAACTTGAGGCTCTCCAGACTGCCCAAGGCAAAAGGAGGTGCTCACTAAAGTTATACTGTAGAGGGGACACAGGAAAAGCCCCCGTGGTTCATCTGGGAGGACAGTGAAGCCTCTGTCATTTAAAGAGAGACATTTCTGTGCCCACCACCGCTGCCCTCCCTGGTGGCCACCCACTAGAGGGAAGCAGCTCACACAAGTTACTCTCCCATAGTGCCAAAGTCTCTATGGGAGCTGGATCAACAGGTCACTTCCTTAGCAAGATGCCCCTGTCCCGAGAAAACCCAGCTCTGCTGTGGCAGCAGGAGAGAACCCACCAGGCAGCAGGACTCAAGCCACAGGACCTAGAGCAGACCTTGACTTTGCAGCAGCAGCAAAGCAACTGCTTAGACAGGCATTTTGGTGCTTTCAGTGGTGATATGCAAGTTTTCTATACTTGGATTTGGCACCAAAGCTTCTGCTCCCATTTCATTTCATGCTTCCTTTCTTTGCACTGTTTCTGCTGCAGCTCTGTATGGGGATTTTCATTACGCAGATCGTGCTGCCCCACAGAACTCTAGGAGCAAACACAAGACATAGGCACCACAGATATGCAGAGCAGGGGGGTATAAGGAAACATGAATTAGAGCCCTGCCATGCCATTTCATGACAAGTGTGGGGAATTAAGACAAATTCCTTTCCTGTAACCTTTTAGAGGTCATTAGAAAGCATTTCTCATTTCTTCAACTAAAACGCAGAAGACAATTTCAGTGGTAGGCAGAATCATACAACAAAAATAAAGGGTCTCATCCTAAGACACAGTGCTTAAGCACAACCAGGTGCTCCAGGATTTCAGCCTTGCTCCACTGCTCTGCCATGCATTTGGCCGCAGCCATCACTTCCCTCTGGCTCACCTGCACGAGGCAAACTCCTCAGGGAAGACTCCAGCTCCGAGATCTGCTCTGTGCTTGCCAAGGCATTCCCTGCACACCGCTGCTGGGTTATGTCTGCTTTGGCTGAGATGCCAGATACTGAAATACAGCATTTAAAGAAGAGTTCATAAAAATATTTTATCTTTCCATTTCAGCTGCCTCCCTTACACTAGCTACATTTCAGGAGCAAACAGCAGCAACTAAAATATACTGACAAGTAAAGGTCCTGCTAGTAATGGGGAAGGTCAGGGATAGCATGAGAAGCAATAATCCACCCAGCAAAGCTTTCTGGGACACAAGCAACAGCTCCATCAGTAAATCACATCATCCGTGTAGATGAATTCTTTCATATAACCACAGAGATTAAAGTTAAAATGTCTACCTACCTGCTGTTATTCTCAAGGCCTTCCACCAATTTCTGATGCTTACTGGAGAAGGGAAGAAAGCTCACTAAAGCAAAGGGGATTGAGTTACAGAAGTTAAATATGCACTGTAACTGGGAAAATGCACACTTCAGAAGTGTGCATGTGTCATGTGGACTCTATTAACCACATTGAAACAGCCATTAATTAGATTAAGAAGTTAAAAAGCTAAAAGAGGGGGAGAAACTGTAACTGTTCGCAGAGATTCACAAGTACACAGACCACACACAATGCTTTTCTGGAAACAGCAGAAATAAAAGAAGTTATTGGACATTATCCTTAAATCACCTGTTACCCAATTTCTGTCAAACAATGCAAACCCTGTTCAAAGGCATCTTCTCTTACCTAGGTGAAGACACATGAAATTCAGAGAGCTAGTTCTGTATGGGAAAAAACAAAGCAGGGATCGAAGCTGGTTTGTAAAAAGCACCTAATTTTGGCCTTAGCACTATGTTCTTCACCTAAAAGGCAAATCAGCTAGTTGAAATCCAAGATGGACAAGAACAGATTTTGAGAAATTGAACAGCAACTGTCAGATTGGGAAGACAGCATGTTTTCAAAAAAACCCAACATAACAGAAATATCAAAGAGCAATTTTATTTAGCTTATTTGGCACAAAAAACTTACAAGAACCCTTTTGTTCCCTTTTTAGATTTAGTACAACTAGCAAGGAAAAAAAGGCATACTAATACATTGAATAAGCTGTACAGCAAGTGAAATGTGGGAAGAGGCACCAGAAAGTTCTACCAAAAATCAAAGTGCATGAAAAATACCTATTCTGAGCGCCTCATGGTATTGTATTAAGGCACCACTCCTTTCAAAGGTTTACTGAATACATCAAGTGTGCAACTTCTTGGTTTGGAATGTAAGAGTCCTTCAGCCTGTATCAAAACTGGATACTGCAACCTCTGAATGCAACAATGCTTCTCCTTGCAGTGTTAAACGGCGAGATCTCTTTCTGGCCAACATCATCTCTCAGCCAGGAGTGTCACTGTCACATGCTTTGAAAAAGCCAACACAAGTTACCAGAGCGACCAGCATTTTACTTCAGAGTTTTAAGCCATACTGTACACCAGGCCTATGAATTCTTTGCAATGGTTTTATAGAAAAGAACGGCTGTAGAGTAACATGGGACATTCCAGTAACTACGTAACTACATTTAGATCATTTATCAAAAGAACATTTAAGGACTTCCTGGAGTATCTCTTGAAAAAATAAAGAGCAACAAAACCAAACAACACCCCCCACCCCCCCAAAACAAACAAACAAACAAACAAAAACAAAACCAACAAACAACAAACAAACAAACAAAAAACCCACCAAAAAAAACCCACTAAAACCAAAACTCTGAGTAGTGTTATAATCCAGAATAATTACATAGACTTTTCAAAAGAATTTTACAAAGCTTCCTTCAGGACTAGCAACCAAGTCAGACAAATTCCACACGACTTCAGAAACTTTAAGTAAGTACACAGAAAAAGACCAATATTAGACAGTGGCGTTTTTCATCATTGGAAACATTTAACAGAAGTACCTGTAACTGCAAATCATGTTATACTGGTGTGTATATATATATATATATATACACACACACACACACACATATATACACACATACACACTGAAACATCATTACAAGCGCCAGACACCTTAGCTCACTGTGGATTCTGCACATCACTGCTCTTAAGTACTACAGAAGTTGCACCAGGATTTTTATTTCAGCATCTTCATTAAGAACTATTCCTTTAAGAACCAAACCACTTCAGTTACTAGAAGAGGTACCACAGGCCAGATTCACATCTAGTGTAAACAGGTTCCAAACAACCAAACAGAAGTTGCATCTGCTTCTTACCAGCTTTGACTTTGGTTTTGCTGCTCAGCTGGATCACCAGTCTCCCTACTTGCAGGAAGAAGTTTGATAAGAAATCAATGCCCATATCAAAACTTAAGTGGGAACGAGAAAATGCAGAATATTGTATCAAACCATTGTACAACACCTCTACTGTAGAGAGTTTCAAACATCTCAGGAGCTTGAGACTGCTTAACCTGAACTCTGGAAAAGCACATTTCTCTATGGACATGCAAAGGCATTTAAATATGAACCCTAGGTGTTACAGGATTTCACTTTTTGTCCTCTTTATGGTGTAGACCTCAAAAACACAACCGTGTCCCCCATTATAAAACCAAAGCACCCTTGAGCATTAAAAATTCTAAACAGCAAGGGCTAAAGAAAAGGGCATCTGGAAATGATCTACACATTAGAGAGCATGGTGTTTCACAAGTCTCAGAACAGTTCAGTTCATACTTTCTGGGATAACTTTCCCTATACCTTTGCCCCAATACAGAGCTGTAGTTTTCAGTAACTCTCTAACCCCTGAATTATTTGCTACCACATATAAAACATGCCACGGAAGTGGCAGTCAGGGCTAAACATTTAATGACATGTCCTTTTTGTCCTTGATTAACAATTACAATCAGCAGAAAGAAAAAACTATTCACTCAACTCATTTATTTCATGATTTGTAAGTCATGTAGCAACTTAACATTGGTGTTACACATTTGTGCTTCTGTTCTCTGGCACTTGGAGGAGGAATTCATTTCCAGGTAATCACATCTTGCTGAAGCATTCCTTTGCATTTGTCCAAACTTGAATTCCCTTTAAAAAAAAAACCAAAACAAACAAACAAACAAAAAAAACAAACAAACCAAAAAAGGTAAAAAATCTATAGGTGGAAATACACTTTGTTTGCAAACCTCAACAGACTTTCTTCTACAAAAGACTCTACAAAAAAGTCGCACAAAATTTCACACAAGAACAGGGCAGAGACCACACTGGAACTGGACCACACTGCCTATCAGGCATACATACATATTATACACATATATATACATCGTGTGTGTGTGTGTCTCTGTGTCATATATCAACATTAACATGTCACCAAATTAGAATAGGCAGGAATATGTGGGAGGTTTTATGCTAGTGACTTCCAACCTTCTGTGACTGCAATGTTCCTAGTTATTGCAAGTTTTCATCTGATCCCCTGCTGATATGATGAATACACCAGCCTGGCCTTTCACAAACTAAACGTACCTTTTTGCACATGCTAATCTGCATAACAGCATAGCTTATAAGCGCCTCCTTCAAATCGTGATTCTTTTGCTCTTTAAACCGTTCAATGTCAGCCCAGGCACTTTTCACAAAGTCTCTGGAATTAAAAGCAATTATTTCTGTTAGTAAGTGTTCTACATGTTCCATCCTCTGCTCATCGTCCTTCCTCTGGACCCTCAGCAGACAAGCTATGTATGACCATGTGCTCCACTGTCACAGTAAACCAAGTGCTGTAACTACTATGCATCCTAGAGAAAGGACATGTTCTTATTTTATAATTGGCACTACTACCTAATTCTCCATCATCTTCTTAAGGTTTTGAAAATAGAGTCAGTTTCACAGGATGCACTTGGACTGGTTGGTTGGTTTGTTGAGTTGGTTTTTTCCCCAGTAAGCACCACTGCCACAGAACCAGCATAATTCAGAATACACTTTTTCCCTCAGATTCTATTGGGGTCACCAAGTATCTTTATGCTAACATTCAGCACATACAACATCACACGTTTCTTTTCAAATTGTCAAGTCAAAATCTTCAACTTTCCAATGCAGAAACTCACTTGTCATCAGGATGTGAGACACTCAAGTACAACAAAACACTTACAATGCAAATTTGACTTAGACGATTCACTTTAAGAATTTCATTGGTTTGGGGAATATGTCTCTAGATCTCCTTAAGTAAAATGGAAGTAGATTTCTGTAATTCATAGCTTTTTTTTGTGCTGGACTATACGTATAAGTATTCACTTGAAAATTGCTTCCAGAGCTACAAAAGCACATCTCCAGTACTTCTGCCAAAATGATTAAGAAATTGCATTTACTGAGAGTCTTCTTGTTTTGAACTATTCATGAACTAGTCTTATCTTTCCAGCTCTAATCCTAACATATTAGGAGATACCACATTCACCCCTTGTGTTATACAATGAACGTGTTCTGACACAATCATCACATTGCTTTAGGAATGTTAGTTCCCATTTTTCAGGTAAGGTCCCTGCCAACCTTAACCATTCCACAATTCTATGTTTGCATTCCTGAAGAAAATTTCATTAGTGTACCAAGCAGCAGCTACTCAAACACAACTTGCCAGAACTTCTATCTCTTCCAAACAGGATTTCGCTGTCCCACACATAAGAAGTTGCAGAATATGAGCACAGAACCCATATACATAAACCAAACTAAACACTGTATTTGCAGCAAATCAACTTTTGAGTCTTAGGCTATTCAGCTGCAGACCTACAAGCCCACCTGCTAAACATATTATTAGTTGAACATAAAAGCATGCAAGTCAGCCATTAGAGTAGGCTCAGTAACTGGGAAAGTCATCAGGTTTTACATAAGCCATACACTCAGACCAGAAGCTAACTGCATGCACTGAACTTTATTTCACAACTTGCAGCTGACAGGAGCTTTTATAGACAGCTCATAAACACCGAGAATATATTAAAAACACTTATAAAATGCAAGCACCTCCAAATGCATCCAGTCAAGGACTTTTGCTAGGACAAGGCTTGTGTTTTCTTTGAAAAAGTCAAGCCTGTTTACCTGCCCTCCAGATTTTTAGACTTCAGTTGTTCTTCTCCTTCCTGTATCTGCTCTTCTAGAACCTTTAACTTGGCTTCCCTCTGCTCAGGGGTTTCCTGCCCAAAGAGCTTGCTGGTCATCCCTTTCAGGGAGAACGTTCTCACAGTCTACAAAAAACAGACACACTAGGTTTGGGATTCCTGAGCACAGCCACAAGACATTGTATGATTTTTTTAATAGCATTTCGACTTATTATTCAGCTGATTTTTTTGCTTTTACTTCCAATTCATGAATGAAATTTTCATTAATAGGTAGCTATGGTGGCTCACATTAGCTTGAGCAAAGTGGGAAGGCAGTAATTTGATGTTCAAACTCTTTAAGCCTAATCTGTGGATGGGACCATGAGTCATTCCACTGATACAGGCAGCCTTTCAGAGCAGTTTTCCTACTGAAGTAGGAAGGAAACCAAGTCTCGTGTTTTGTATGAGAAAGAAAAGCCATAACGTAGTACTGTATAGAACATCAATAGATCTAAACACTTTTTTAAAGTTACCACTTTCAGATGATGTTTTAAAGTAACATTATCTTCCATATAGAAGGGACCAACACCATATATAAGTAACACCCACCTTTCAGAAGGCAAAGGAATCCTTTCATAATTCCCTATATTTTGATCTTTAGGATAGAGTTGTTTATGTTATTCTGCTCAGGTCATATTTCCTGCAACCTTTTACTTGCTCAGAATTCAATAAAAGAAGTTTGGTACAAACAGCTTATGTCACCAAGAACCAAGTTACTCTAAACCTCAGATGCTTACAGCTCATATGATGCCGCTTCTCCTAAGCGGCAGCCAGCACATTAGTGCCATTTAAATGTCATTCCAAGTAACTTGGCTCAAAGAAAAAATAAATTTAAAAAATGAGGCATCTTGGAGAAGAAAGTGGAAAAAGACTCACTCCTGTTGCCAGCTCCTCACACTGCTGTTTCTTAGATGTTAGGTCCTGTGCCGCCATTTCCAAGTCATATTGCATCAGTTCGTGTTTCCTGCAAACTGCCCTGAAAAGTAAGTAATGAAAGCTCTGTCACGTAATACTTTGGTTTTGCTATGTTTCCCTCCATTTAAACTTTACAAATGGCACCATGCTTTTATTTTATTTTTTTTTTTTGGCAGGCAGCACATTCTGTTATTTATCTAGCTCAAATTCAGCAGCCTTATCACAGAATGCATAACTCTGCAAAGGCTGTAGTTAAGCAAGTTTGGATCAAAGCATAAAGAAAGTCCTTAGTACAGCATTCTGTTCCTCTTTTTAGACTCATTCCAAGACACACTCAGCAATGCAAGCCCTACCACCTACTTGAGGTAAAATAAGTTTTATTCAAAATACATTACAGAAAAATCACAACTATGACAAAAGGTACCTGGAGACAGCACCTGTCACAGCAGCAACCTATCAGTCAATCATAAATTCTTCACAGTTTAAACAATGAAACAAGAAATTGTGCTCCTAGATTCATACAGTGTCTTTCATCTGGAAAAGAGGAAAGTTTTCTCTGGCCACCTGCAGTAAGTCCCAGTCCTGTGTGGGCTGACAATGCTACATCCGTACTCCACGGCCAGATGCACATTCGTCTCCCAGGAGAGGCTACCAGTGGTCTCAGTTCCCACACAGCAGCCGTCACGCTCTCCAACCCAGTTCTCTACAGCATCACTGGACCTTTCCAAGAGGTGCTCTCCATGGGCTGGCTCTGAACAATAACTTTAGGCTTACAGCACAAAACAATTTGCTTTTGTCTCCACACTTGTAAAGAACAACTGCCCTATAAAGGCTAACTTAAAAAAATAAATAGATAAATTACTATTTAGATGCACAATATTGTACAGCAGATAAACATTATACAGGGCACTTTGAAACTTGCTGGAATTTGTAATGGCTGTAGCAGCTCTGTTTAACCTACCTTGTTCGAAAACTGAAGTTTTCGGTGCATTGTGGCACTACTACACCAGAAGCCAAGGGAATCATAGAACGGTTTGGGTTGGAAAGGACCTTAAGATCACCTAGTTCCAATCCCCCTGCCATGGGCAGGGATGTGTCACACTAGACCACGTCACCCAAGGCTCTGTCCAGCCTGGCCTTGAACACTGCCAGGGATGGAGCATTTACCACTTCTTTTGGCAACCTGTGCTAGTGTCTCACCAGAGGAACAACAGCATTACCTTCCACAGTATACTGACTGGAACATTTCTCTCATTTCACTAGTTATCAGCTCAGTTCTAATTAATATTGCCACCTGCATGGCAATCAAATATGAGTAAGCAAAATAAAAGGTGAGAACATGGAGATTCCACAACATTGAGATTTCCACTTAAGAGAACAGGGTGTCAAACTAAATTCATACCAACACAGTATTAGAGAAAAGGACTACAGCTTCCATTTGAGCTATGCACTGCTGTACATACCGCAGTGCTTCTGCATAGAAGAGATACTCTTTCAGCTGATCTGCATAATGTTCCTCTTCTTCCAGTATGTCATCAATAGAAGCTGCATACCTGGTAAAAAACAGCCATGGTCAAGTATAAAGTTCCTTAATCTAACCTTTAAGGACTACACATACAGTAACAACAGAGGACACCTGTTTGACAGAAACACCAGTCACAAAGTAAAACAGTGAAAGGGACTTCCAAAAAGGGTTGCTTGTTTTTAATTAAACTCTGAATCAGCTAATGTAAACATTCCTGCAGGCCTGTTTCTTTGGTTGTTACTACAATGAATCTTTTGACAAGTACAAAATCAACTGTAAGTT